CGCAGAACCCCACCCAGACCCATCGGTCAGAGGAAGTGGGTAGAACCATGAAGCAGGAAGGTGTTGGCAGTAGATTGGGTCTCCGCCCACCCCCTGAAGAGGAAGGAAGAGGGAAAACCACAAAACCCTTGGAGTTGAAGAGCGCCTAAACTTGGTTGAGATAATGATGGGGATATAAAATACAGACGAACGAGAAATATGCCTGCCAGGAAGTGCCCCACGGAAATGTCTGATCCCCGATCGCCCCGGGACATCCCGGGACGTACAGAAGCTCTGGGGCACCTCTGAGAACCCTCTGAGATTGATAGAGAATGTGCCACAAGATTTCTTCATGCGCGTTCTCTCACCGCATGTGTCCATTGCACCTTCAACGACCAGTAGGTACCCGTCCTGCTCAGCCTTGACTCCAGATCCGCCATGCGTTGGGCGACTTCGCAAGTTGGGCGGAAATTTCAGCCCAACCTCTCAATCTCCTTTGATGCTGATTTCCGCCATTCCTTGCCGTCGTTGTTCCGCCATACCGTTGTGGAAATATCTGCCCGACTGTTCTGAGGCGGACATATCCGCCTTGCGTTTTCCCATCGTTTGGGCTGTATTTCCAGTGCACTTTGAAGTGGGAAGTCAACCTAGGCACGGCGGATCCAGAGTCAGGGAAGCCCATCCTGGCTGGAGGCGGCCAGGGTGTTTGAACTGCATGGGCCCCGAGGAAATCGGTCAAGACGGGCGGATAAGTGCAAGTCCGCTCAAAGTCGGTCCCCAGACCCCACGTGGTGCAGTTTCTTTATGTTTCTTTCGCCACGGACCCGCTTGGACGGACCCCGTGCCCGAAGACGGCCCCCAGAGCCCAGAAACGGCAACAACCTGCTCGACCTCAGAACCCCGAACCTCTCCAAGACAATGCCAGGACGAGGACACAATTGGGTGAGGACAAATCGTGGATCTCTGAGATCTGCCGGCTCCGGCGGATGTCTCGGGCGCCACGGCCTTCTCAGAGCGTTCCAGAACGCTCTGAGAGCGTTCCGGAACGCTCTCGAACGGATTTATTCTCGTCCCAGCCCCGTCCGACTCCTCCTATTCCTGCTGGCCAGAACCAATGCTGGGCCACCTCAGACCCCCAACCGGCTCCAACATTGGAGGCCTCCTAGATAGGGCCCGAGCAGATGGGGTCGGCGGATCGCCCCGCATCGCCGATGCATCGGCAATGCATCGGGGATGCATCGGCGATGCATCGGCGATGCAACGGCGTCGACGGAGACGCGTCGGCGACGTCGGTGTGGAGAAAATTGGGCCCCGCATCGAAACGCATCGGCGATGCATCGGCGATGCAGCGCGACCCGCAGACCCCACCTACTCGGACCCCACTGTGGAGGCCTAGAAACATGTGGTCGGGCGTTGGCTATAATGAGGGGGCGATCATGTGCGAGGGGGAGGAGAAACGTGCACCACCTTTCGTACCCGTTTGGGGCCCCAGGGGGCCCCTTGAGGTCCCCGTTGGGGCACGAAAGGTGCACCTTGCTTCACGCCCCCCATTCATGAATGCCCGATGTTCACTAAGCTTCGAGACAAGAAAACCGGCGCCGACCCTCCCTCGCACCCTTCCCCGAGATCTGGGCGTTGCCTTTTTTCCACGCCGGGCGTCTTCGCCCAGTGCCGGGCCCCGGGGCCATCACAGATCGAGATCCGACTCGAGAGCGGCGGCAGAAAGGTGGGATCTGGGACTCCAGGCGTGATTTCTCGCGATGCCGCGACTCTTTCGCGACGCCAGATCTCAGGGCTTGGTGAGCTCCGAAGGCCCTGGAGCAGAAAACCTTGCCACCTCTTCGGGGCGCATGTTTCACTGCCTTTTACCAGCGCAACACCCTAGAACAATCGATCGGATGTCTGGCGTCGGGCCCGTCCGAAAACCAGCCGGAAACACGGCGCAACCTCGAGAAAGCGCAGAGCGACGACGCAGAGGGCCAGAGGAGCGAGCACCGCACGCGGGACTGCCGCTGGCTCCCGCCGGCCTTCCGCCCGCGGAGCCGCCCCCGTGGGACTTCCGCCGCCTTCTCGCCGATGAAGAGATGGCCACTCCTCCGGCCCGCGATGGCAAGGCACTACTTGGAGCGCCCTATGTGACTACCTACCAGACCACCCCAACCCAACCCGAAGACCCGAATTTCGGGTTGGGGGGGGGGTAAGGGTTTCATATGTGGTTTCTCAACACTCCCCGACCCCCCCCCCCACAGGAAATGGAGGGCAATTTGGAGCCTTCGGGTTGGGTTGGGGTGGTTTGGTGGGTGGTGACTATGTGTCTGGGAGGTCGGAAGGAGAAACATCGGCGTAAACAGAAAAGACTGTCGGAGGTCCGCGCGGACCCCTTCGGCGCAGGACCCCCCCTTGGCGGCGCCTCCGGCGCCGCCCCTCAAATCCGACGCTGCGAACCAAATGCGGCATCGCGGAAAACCAGTGACCCGAAACCCAGCGGAAACGCCAAGTGCGAAAGAATTGCCACGCCCGG